TCAGAAGGATTTGAGGATTTTGACTTTTCTCAAAATAATTTAAGGTTTTGACTTTCAACAGAGGTTTTGTCATTTAGGGCTCAGGTTTTGACTTTCATCATCAAGCAAAAATGGTTTCGTCTAATAACTATAGCGATACTTACTGACTTTTTCCCTTACACTTTACTAAATCACGATATACTCTAGGTCTAAAAGTACAGAAAGTACAGTTCAAAAAGTTCATACAAAAAGTTCGGACAGGTCAGTCAATAAGGTGTACAGTAAATTCGATAATTTTGAATAAGGTAATGATGCTCTGTTCTATTACTCTAAGCTTAGATAAAAAAAATAATAATAATAAAAATAAAAAAAATAATAATCTTCAAATAAGAGTACTGATAATAATAAAAAAAATTAAAATTCGTATTACACTATACGTGCATACGTATGTTCATAGGCAGACATTCGTATGATTAGCTGCTTAAATCAATTTAATTTTACATTATTTATACAGCTTAAAGTACTTTTTAAAAAAAGAAAACTACGAAGAATAAACAAAAAAGAAGTAAATAGAAAGGTTTATTGGGGTTGTAGGACTCCACTATTAAAAATAATCAATATTTTTTTTTGTTTTAGAGAAGTTAGCATAATAATGACTTCTTAAAATTAGGTTATTACCATGCTAACTTCTCTAAAACAAAAAAGAATTTTGATTATTTTTAATAGTGGAGTCCTACAACCTTAATAAAACTTTCTATATACTTCTTTTTTGTTTATTCGTGGTAGTTTTCTTTTTTTAAAAAGTACTTTAAGCTGTATAAATAATGTAAAATTAAATTGATTTAAGCAGCCAATCATATAAATGTCTGCCTATGATATGTACATATATACATACTTGATAATTAAAATATGCTTATGTACTAATTATAAAAACAAAATATGTATGAATTACTGTCTAAGAATATGACTAAATATAGTAAATTTTTTGAACCATATTTAGTAAGAGAAGACAAAAAGCTTATTACTGGTTAATACTTGTTTTCTTTAACCGAATAGACGTCTATCCATTACTTCATGTAAGCTATAAAATATTATAAAAGATTATACAAGAGCATTATACTTTTAATCATCACATTAAATTGATATTTCATTCATCACTAAAAATTTAATTTCACATTTTATTATAAAAGTTTTTATATAAGCTTAAACACCTTAAAATCATTATGGAATCTAAAGATGAAGCTAAGAGAAGAAATCGTGAACGAATGGCTTTCCATCGTAAAAATCCACATTTGCGAATTTAAAAAAAAAATAACATGCTAAAAAAAAAAAGAATTCAAACTCAACTTATAAAAGAACAGCAAGCTAATAGTTTGGGCATTCCTTTACGCTTTATGGAAATGAATGAAGAATTCGAAAAAATTAACCAACAATATAATACATGACCCCAACTTATTAAAAAAGAAATAGCTAAAGATGCCCTAGCTGAATTTCGAGATAAGGTAGATCTTAATGAATTGCGTGAATTACCATGTGCAATTTGCTCAGGCACTTGTAATTACAAGCATTACAAAAAAATTTTTGTGCAAGGAATTGATCTTTCTTTAATTAAAGCACCACTAGACCTTACTGATCCATCATTTGAGATTAATTTCAATTATGATCATCCTTACATTACTGCTAGTAGACTAAACATTCTTCTTGATTGTTTTAGATTTATATATCTACCTGAATATTCTAGTAATTCTGATAATTCTAATAACCCATTTCAATTGCAAATTTGCCAATCTTGCTATAATTCTTTGCAAAAACGTATAACACCACCACTATCATTAGCCAACATGTGGATTGGATCCACTTCCACATGTCTTCAAAATCTAACAATTCCAGAGCAACTTCTTATTTCACCAGGATACCCCTGTATGAATCTTATACAAATAACAAAAAGAAGACATACACATCACAAACTTAAAGGGCACATTGTAACATTTCCTCAAAACCCAAGTTCTTTAATTGATGTACTGCCCCTACCTGCATATAAGCTTTGTGAATATATAAAGGTTGTATTTGTCAGAAAAGGAACTCCTACTCAACACCAACTCAAGAAAGTGCTTCAAGTCCGAAAAAGCAAAGTGACAGCAGCTCTTCATTGGCTTTTTGCCCATAATAAATTATTTAAAAACAAATTTAAACTTGATATAAATAATTTAAATAATCTACCTGAAGGAGAAATTCCTGAAGCTTTAACTCAAACAACTACTGTTGTTGAAATTAACTTATGAGAAACAGAACATTATACTGGTTATAATTGTGATTCTTTATTAAATCAACAAGAATCTGATAGCAAAAATAACAGTGAAGATGAAGAGTTATACGATATTTTTTAAAAAAAATAATTCTATTAATAATGCAAATGAACTCAGACCTTCTGGAATAATGAATGTTGATGATTTACCAATTATTATAAAAGAGCTTACTTTGCTCTCTTTTCAAAAGCTTATTGATAAACAATATCACCTTGATCATAATTCAGTTGAAATCAATTCTAATTTGAAAAATGAATTAACACAATCACATATATTAAGTGTGCCCCATGGTAATAAACCCTTGAATGAATATAAAGATTCAACTCTTTTTCTTGCAGGATTTCCAGTTCTCTTCCTATATGGTGTTGGTGGTCATAAAGATCAATTAACTCCTATCTCATTAAAAAAATATGCTGATTACCTTATGTGGCACCATGACCCAAAATTTCGACAGCACAGGTTATTTCCCTTTGTCATTTTTAATATTTTGCAAAGACGTGAAATATCAACTAAATTTTATAATTTAACAAGAAATAATAGTTTTAATCGGTCAGCAAATTTAATATCATCACTAAAACCCAATGATATTAACATCGCTATTGAACAAATACAAAATAACCAACCAATTAGCAATCCTGCTATTATTGAATTACTCAAAAATGTCAATTCTGCTGGCTCTAAACTAATGGCTTCTCATCAATCATATTCACGTATGCATAATGAAATATGTGCTGTTATAATGTGAGATAGTACACCATCATTATTCATAACTATAAATCCTGCTGATCTTCATAGCCCTATTGTTATAATATATGCCAGAAGTGAAATTAATCCTTAAAATCTTGCACCTAATAACTTTCTAAAAGCTTCAGAAAGAGCTCGACTTGTACATCTTGACCCTACAGCTGTTGCTAAATATTTTGATATTGTTATTCAAACAATTATAAATACTTTAATTGGATATAAAAGAAAAAATAATGGTATATTTGGGTCAATTAAAAATTATTATGGTGTTGTAAAATATCAAGATCATGGTACACCACATTGTCACATGCTTGTTTGGCTTCATGGAGCTTACGACCCATTATTATTACGCCAAAAGCTAAAAAATAACAACGAATTTAGTCAACGCCTTTTAAAATATGTTAATAGTATTATTAAAGAAGATATCAGTTATCTTTTAAAAGATGAACTTATTACTGATGATACAATTAAAGCTGAACATGTAGCTCCTAAAACAATACTTGAAAAGCGAATGTATCCATTGTTTATACCCATACCTAATCCTAAATCAGCTAATTTTGAAGAAGAATTTCGTTTGGACTTACTTGCAATTTGTAAACGTACTCTTTTTCATTATTGTATACACACTTGCAAGAAATATAACCGTGGTATATATAAAAATTGTTGATTTGACTTTCCTAGAGAACTTGTAGATCCACCTGGTATAATCTTTTTTGAACAAGGCATAATTGCAGTTCAACCTACAAGTGCTTTTATAAACAACCATAACCTTTATATAACAGCTGCATGTAGAGGAAATAATGATATTAAATTTATATCTACATGAAAACTTGCTTTGGCTTACATTCATTATATTACCGATTATGTTACCAAATTAGATATTAGTACATTTAGCTCTTTTTTAATCTGTGCTTCTACTTTAGAAACTTTTTTAACTAATATGTCTAATAAAATTTCATATAACTATGTTGACAAATCATGTAAACTTGTAACAAAATATCTTAACTAAATAGCTAGACAAATGGAGCTTACAAGTCCACAAGTCTCCACTTACCTATTAGGTATTCATGATCATTACTCTTCAAATAAATTTATATCAATTCATCTTCAAACTTTTGAGTTTTATCTAATGAAAGAATGGGCAAATCTTTATCAATTTTCAAATAACATTGAATCAGATAGTGAATCTGAACTAGAAGAAGAAAGCAATCAGAATCTATTATCTGAATCATTTTTAATATCATCTTATAATGACAAATTAACTGCTGTAAACCTTCGTATTGATTATCAGTTTTGAGGTAAATCATTACACAATATTTGCCTTTATGACTATGCATCACTTATTAAAAAATACCTATAAACTCTTATGAACTTTCTATAATATCAAATCAATCCTCAAGAGAAAACAAATATTATTGTGATCGTTTTTTCTTCTATGGTAGTGAATTTGATCATAATATTATTCATAGTTCCATTAATACTCATCCTCAATGTAAAACACATATTCAATTATATAGAAAAAAAGGTTCAGAGAGAATAGTTGTACTATGTGGTAAAGGGTTATCTAAAAAAAATGATATAGAAAATGCTGAACGCTATTGTTTATATATTCTTATGATATTTAAACCTTGGGAAACTATTCAAGACCTTCTTGAAAACTATGATTCTTGGGCAAAGGCATGTCAAGCTTTTCTAGATAGTTCTTACTTATCTCCTCGCTTAAAATCTATAATTTATAATATAGAATTATTGCATAGATGTTCTGAAGAGACAGCACTTGATCGAGAACTATGTAAAAATGCACTAAAAGACCCAATTCTTGCAAAAGCTTGTCGCATAGATTGTTCGAACCCTGGATATAATACTTATAATGAACTAGACCTTTCTGATGATAATGAACTACTAATAAATAATACACTTAGTAATAATATTCTTGAGTTTAATCCTGAAGCAATTATTAGATCTGGTTTAAAAAATATTAAAATGGTTGATTCTGCTATGAGCTTCTTATGAATTCAAAACAAATTTTCTTTAAAAAAATTTTCATTATCAAGTAATACAAATTTGCTGATAATAATCTTGAATCAGAAACTATATGTTCAAGCAATACATATGATAGTGACCTATTAAAAATTTGGCAAAATACAATCTCTTCTTGAAAATTAACTTCACGAAACAATGTTAATATTAATCTTGAAGCAAATAATACACCTATAAACACTTATATAAATCTTCAGCATAATTATAAAAATACCCCTCTAAATATTACTGTTACAAAAAATACTAATCCCTTGGAACGATTTGCATCTGGCTTAAATGAAGAACAAAAAAAAGCATATTTCTTGTTTTGTGAATATCGACAAAAAAATAATCAAATGACAAAAAATAGTCTCTCACAATTATTACTTTACCTTACAGGTGCAGGTGAAACTGGTAAATCCAGAGTTATTCAAGCAATATGCTCATACTTTGAATATACTTTACAAAGTGACACACTAATAGTTTTAGCTCCTACAGGAATTGCAGCAGTAAATATATGTGGAAATACTATTCATTCTGCATGTGGCTTTGGTTTTAATGAAGGTGAAAATAATTTTTCTAATTTTTCTAATGAATATAAATGCCAGCTTTAAGAATGTTGGTCTAAAATAGAATATGCTATCTTAGATAAGCTCTCCATGGTTAGGAAAACCTTTTAGCACAATTTCATACTTTTATAAAAAAAATCAAAGTTAATAATGACTCAACTCTATTTGCTGGAATAAATATATTATTTGCTAGAGATTTTATGCAATTACCACCTATATTAGATAAAGCATTATATATACCTGATAAAATTACTTGTTTTACTTCGGCTGAATACAGTTCTTCAAAAAGCAAAAAACGAAAACACAATATTAACTCATTATCAATTAATTCTCAAACTGTCACCAACACAACAAGAAGTCTTTGGCTAAATGTTAAACATGCTGTCGAATTAAACATTTCAATGCGTCAAATAGATGACCCTTTTTATGCAAACATCCTTGAAAATATGCGTCATAGTAATCTTACTGAAACCCAAATAGCAGCTTTACGATCAAGAATTCTTGGAGATGATATAATTAACTCTAAAGAATGGAGAAATGCTACCTTTCTTGTAACACAAAATGATCTTTGTGTTCAACTTAATTTTGAAGCTGTTAAAGAGCATGCCTATGATAACAACTAGCCTATTATTTACTCTTGTGTACAAGATTCTAATAATCGAAAACCTCTTATTGGAAATAACTGTTTAAAATTTTTATCAACACAGGACACTAAGAAAAATGTATTTTGTGGAATTTTACCATTATCAATCAATATGAAAGTTGTTTTAACAATCAATATCTGTACTAATGATAATTTCGCAAAAG